TGTGCCTGAGCATAATTAGGTGTGCATACACTTAAAACCAGATGCATTATGGGAAGTGACACGTACAGTGAGCAAAGATCGACGTGGTAGAAGTCTGTCAATCAAAATGAAGAGCCACCCAAATATGTCTCTAGTAACCAAGCTCCTCCCCGTCTTGAACCCATAAAAGGAAGTCCCTAAAAAGAATTGCAGTCCTTGAGTGCCTTCACTTCACGGCCACTGTTGCTTCAAAGCAGATTCTGATTTCTTCTCCTGCTTTGCAAACAGTGCAGGCTTTTGCCTCCTTCTTTTTCCACTTTTCATTCGTATGAGCCCCAGGTTGCTGTCAGGAATCATCATCCACTGCTCTTTCGCCTTACCCACTTCAGTCAGGGTCTCTCAGTCAAACCCAGGGCTCATGTGCATAGCTAGTCTCGCTAGCCTTCTCTGATGTTGTGTGACATCATTCCTGAGAAGCCGGGAGTAAAATGTCTACTCAGATAGTGAAATGACAACAGATCAAAGTAAGGATACTACCAAAGTCCACCTTGCTAAACCAGTGAATCTGCTGGGGTTCCTCACAGGAGACGGGCGAGGAGTCACTTACAGGAGCAGAAATGACTCAGACAGCTGCGTCACCAAAGTCCACTCCATAAAGGCTAGAAACGTGTCACTGCACAGTCTGTAGGCAGCTCAACATGTTGGAGAGTCTCAGTTTGAAGTGGCTAAATAGTCAGCGTCTCTCCGGGGCAGCAGGGGTAGTCTGAGAGTCTCTCAGCAGCCCTTACTGTTTGGGAGGTGCCCAGGGGATCTGGTCAGTTCAGGGACTTCCTCAAGTTAGTTGGATTCCATTGTTGTCACTGTTTTGAGACAAGGTCCCACTATGCATCCTTGGCTGGCCTGGAACTTTCTATGTAGTCCAAGCTAGTCTCGAACTCACAGAGATCTGCCTGCCTCTGCCCTCCAGAGTGCTGAGATTAAAAGTGGACACCACCATGCTAGGCTTCCTGAAGCTTTTGAGATGTTTACTTCTTGAGCTGAAGGGGTCTTGCTGAAGGATGGAATGCTCTACCTTCTTTTAGGACAAACTGTCTCAAAGAGTTTGATGAAAAGTTTTAATGAAACCTCCCAGACGAAAAGTTTTATCTCTGAGGAAATTGCTACACATAAGGGGTTCCCTGTCCCCACCTTCTGAAGCTGGAATTACAGAGGAGCCACCATGCTCACCAGGCATTATATGGGTTTCTGGGTTCCTTGAGGTCAAGAACCTAGAGTCATCTTGCCCAAACCTCGACCATCCAAAATAAAAGGGGAAATGGGAGAAGCATACTCTGGGGGAAAGGGGGACAATCCTTTGTGAGAAGAGCTGGAGGGAAAATGAACCAAAAGGAAGTATTATGAAGGTGATACACAGACACATGGAAACTCGCTACTTTGTAAGTGAATTTCAAAATAAAAACAATTTTAAAAAAGAATCATTGTTTTCCACTTGCCTTTCATGGGCCAGGGGCAGTTTGTCCAAAGGTCCAGGTGCAGATAAGCAGGGTTACCCACACCCGTCAGTCAAATACACCGAGGAACCTAGAAAGTGGGAGAGGCACATTGGTGCCCTTGGCATCTCCTGAGAGGCTGAGGCTATGACTGCCCTCGAGGGGCGGGGATCCTTCTTTATCTGCCACCCCCTGGAACACCAGCAGCCCAGGGCCAGCACGGAGATGCAAGGGATGTGTACAAAGTTCTGGAGATAAGGAGGGACATGGTGTCCAGGAGAGGTCAGCATGTGGAGGCCAGCTTGGGGCCCTCTGGGGACTGGGAAGGGTGACAGAGGGAAAGGCGACGAGGACCATGGTCAGGCATCCTGGAGGCACATGCCGTTCCAACATTCCCTAACACAGCACATCTGTAGATCCCAGAGTGTGGGAGGGATGTGATGGCAGAACCACTTACTGAGATTAAGTAAAACAGAGGGCTGGGGAGACGGCTCAGCGGGCAAAGCCCTTGCCTGGGAAGAATCAGAGCCCAGGTCTGGGTCCCCAGAATCCACATAAAGCTGAACAATAGTTCTCATCTGTAATGGTGGGGCTCCTAAGGTGAGATGGGAGGCTAAGAGAGAAGCCCCAGAAGCTCACGGGCCAGTCACTCTGGCACATGCAGCAGCGAACAGAAGATCCTGTCTCAAACAAGTTAGAAAGGTAGACCATGAGGACCAACTCCTGAAGTTTCCCTCACCTGCACATACGCACAGCTACATTCACACATTGAAATGGGCATGTGCACATACATACACAAAGATAAAAAGTATTATTATTCTATTATATATTTTAATTACTATCTCATTTATTCTTATTATATTTTAACTATATTATTGTTGTTGTTGTTCAAGACCAGCCTAAACAATTTGAAACCCTGTCTCCAAAAGATAAAGTAAAAGCTAAGGGGTCTGGAGAGATGGCTCAGTGATTAAGAACACTGGCTTAAGCGTCTTGCAGAGGACCAGAGTTCGATTCCCAGAACCTACATG